TTAAAGTACAAAACATGAGATTAATGTTGTTGTAGTCCCACTATAAAATATAAATTATTTGATGGATAAATAGCTTTTAATATATATATATATATATATTTATTGGAGCAATTTACAATTTGGGCGATTGGAGAGGAAGAATTTTTCGAGGTATTAATAGGGTTTGAAATCTGATCAATTAATTTAAGTGTTTTAAGAATCGAGGACAAATCACTTAGATAAATAAATTTTAATATAATTATATAATTTAATATAATTTGAATTACACTTTTTTTTTAATCTATAAATTTCTTTTCCTTCTTTCACAAAAAAACAAGAAATAATTAAATAATTTTGGGCAAGATGACATCTTGCATTTTTAATGTCAACGCATTACAGAATATAGCTAAATTAGCATAAGATAGAATTAAAGATTGTGGTTGTAGGGTATAAGTTTTTATCTCTAAGTTAAATACCTCATCGACCTTTAAGAACACTTACTACATATTGATCAAGAGTTAATTTCTTATGAGTTTGAGTTAATCAAGAGATAAACCATTGCAAACAAGTTCTTCCATTCCATTGTGAAAAGAGTAAATATCTTTGATTGAACAAAAGAAACATACAAAATTAAAACAACTCAAAGTCAAAAGAATGGAGCCTTGTCCATACATTACCGTAATTATAAAGATTGATTATGATCGATGTTGCCTCGTGGAAGTTGATTGGTCTCCAAAAACTTGATTCAACAAGTTGTACTGGTTGGCATTGGAAGTTCCTGTTGAGGAGGCAGAGACGGCTGCCGACAAGGCGTGGGTGTGGACCCCATCATACACAACTCGAATGTTATCTGGCTCTGACTCAGACCATTCCACTCTCTTCTTTGCGTTGCAGTTCTCCTTGTGGCACTTGAAATAGCTCCTGCATATGTGCATCCCCACTTAATATAATAATGTTAAACTGAGAAAAAAAAAATCCCACTTAGATTTAGTTAACAAAGCACATAGAAAACAATTTTATAATTTGAATTACAAAATATTAATTATTGAATGATAAAAATCTTAAATAATAAATACAGTTAACACTTAACACTTATATTTAATTATTGATTATTTTCACTTAACTGTAAACCACCCAACTCTTTAATTAAAATCCTAAACTTTAAATATAATATGATTGTGCAATTAACTTCATTATTCATTACCCTCAACATCATGATCCATCTATAAATTATTTGAAGCGGATATATTATTGGTATATATTTACTAACGTCAACCTTTTATAGTATAATAATGTTTAGTAAGTATGGGGATCATCACTATCTTACTTGTTTTCTCATTGATAAGTACTACCATACCTGGTTTTTCCAATGTTTTTGATAAACTTTTGGCCATATTTTCTCCATTCATAGCCGTCTTCTGGCAAGATCAATCTATGTCCTCCTCGGTCTTCAGTTCCCCTATATTAGAGATCAAAGACATGCATCAGTTGCATATATAACAGCAAATCACTCAAAAAATGTATCTGCTAATGTAAAGCTATGGAAGAGAAACCAAAATCCAAATTTTCAACTCTTAGCCGGATCTAGATCTAGAATTAAAATCAGCCAAATTTTCCATCATCTGGGATATGCATCTCAATGATCAGATCGTTTACAAATTAACAGATCCTTCACTATGGTGGCAAAAAAAAACAAAAAAGAAAAAAAAACAGATCTTTTTCACTATCATGCAAGCTTCATAAAGATATATAACAGAAAAGAAGATTAGATATAAAAAACATACATGGAGGTTTCTCTAGCTGTCGAAGCTTCATTCATGGCTGCTTCTCTGTAGCACTGCTATATACAGAAGTTGCAAAAAAAGGTAAAAAAAAAATTACTTCAACTGGAAAAGGAAGAAACTAGAAATAAGAGAGAAGAAACAGAAACACTAGAAATTAATAACTAACTGTGTTTTTGTTTATAGACAAAGATGATATTCTTTGGATGTGACTTCCAAAGTTCATGAGGAAAAGAAAGCTATGTAAATAAGGATCCGTTTCAGATTTTCATGGGTCTCCCATGACAAAAAGAAACCCTAGCTGAGGTGGGAAGGGGGCGACGGCGGAAGGATTAGCTCAGTCTGTCACAATTGAGCCTCTTTTGACTAGTAATACTTGTACTTTTAGCCGGATATCTTAAAAACTCTGTTTGTGGTATCAATTTTTTGGACTAAACAGCACAAAATAAATTCTAAAAGAAAAAAACAATTGAGGGATCCAAGATTGGATGCCAAAGAAAAGAGGTCGTACGTAGTTAAGGGCCATCAATTATTTCGTTAATATTGTTAAATTATATTAAAAAATATTTATTTAGTCTGATTTTTTTTAGTTTTTGTTTAAAAATTTTTAATATGTATTTCTAAAATATAAATTAAAAATGTATTTGTTATATTTTTTATTATTAATTT